GTATTCTTTAGTTGTACCTGGTTGTTTTTTTATGATTTCTGTGTCCTTCTTTATGTCCTCCTTAAGTTCCTGAAACATTCTTATCATCATTGTTCTAAACTCTGTCTCTGAAAGGTTGGATACATCTGTTTCATTTAGTTCCATTTCTTGAGGTTTCTTCTGATCTTTTACTTGGGACATGTTTCTTTGTTTCTTCATTGTGGCTGTCACTCTTGATTGCTTCGATGTATTAGGTCACCAGCGAGCGAGTAGGTTTGCCAGTCCACTGTTTCTCCAGCTGCCCTCAGCCTCACCGAGTTGAGCAAAGAGAGTCCTCACTATTTTCTACTTCCAGCTATCGTAGAATTCCTTTTCCTGGCAAAGTAACTCTGGGATGGTGAGCGCGCTGTGGGGCCGGAGGGTCTCGCCCCCAACTGGAGAAGCCTCCCTACCGCTGAGGTGTCCCTCATGGGGTTTGCCCTCTCTCGTCTCCGCCCCTCCTACCGGACTTGACGTGGCCTCCTCTTTAAGTCCTTTGTTTAGAGGTTCTGCTCATCTAGGGTCCAGGGAACTTCTGAGGTTGAATATCTTGTAAATTATTTGTAATTTTGGTGTGATCCTGGGAGGTAGTCGGCACAGCGTCTGTCTATTCTGCCATCTTACCGGAAGTCCTCCAAATTTTTCATTTAGAGTGGGAAACTGTGAAAAGCTCAGAACCTGCTAAAGAGACGGTCCAGACAACACAGAGCCCAACTCCAGTTGAAAAGGAGACAGTGGTCACAACCCAGGCCGAGGTTTTCCCGCCACCTGTTGCTATGTTGCAGGTTAGTGCTGGGTGTTTTTGTTGTTGAATGTGTTGTTTTACTTTGCTGTTTTTCTCGGGTATTTACTCTATAAAACTTGGAGGAACTTGTCCAAAATGGAATAAATATGAGTTTAGTCAAACAGTTTTTGAAGAAAAGATTTTTTTTTAAGAAGTGGTCTAATTTATATTTAAATGTTTATTTATTGAACAAATGACTGTTGATTGCTCTGTGACATTCAGCCTTCCAGGCACCTGCCATTGGGATTTATCAGTGAAAAAACACCAAACACATATCCTTGCCCTTATGGAGCGCTTGTTCTCAAAAGGGGAGACAGAGACGAAATACGTTTATGGGACACAGCGGAAGGACGAAGGCAGTGTAGGGGTGACCCGTGTGGGCAGGGGCCTGCAATCCTACGTGAAATGGTCAGGGTGGACTTGACTGAGAAGGAGACAGTGGAGCAGCAAGTGAACGTTGGCCAGCTGGAAGAGCCTGGCGGGCAGAGGGAAGGGCCAGTGCAGAGGCCCCAGGTCAGGAGCAGCAAGTGGGCTAGAGTACCGCGAGGGAAAGGCAGCGTGGTGGACAGGAGACCCCCGGGAGGACTTGGGTTTCCCTCTGAGATGCCAGCTTCTGGAGGAGTTTGAAAGAAGTGACTTGATCTGGCTTAGAATTTTAAAGGATTGCACTGGCCCTACTCTTTTGAGACTAGATTAGTGGGAATTCCTGAAAGCAGGGAGAAGAGTGAGAAGACAGTTGGAGCAATCCAGATGAGAGATGGTGGCTCAGACTAGAATGCTAGACTAGCAGTGGAGGAAATGAGAAGTGGTCAGGTACTAGGTGCATCTTGATCACACGATCAGGGGGCTGCATGGCATTATTAGATTTGACTCGTGAGAAAGAGCAGAGACAAGGCTTTGGGCCTGAGAAATGGAAAGAGGGACTTACCGTTAGCTGAGAATGAGAAAGAAAACTGGGAAGGAAGAGTTGTTTTGGAAAGAACAATTGAGAGTGCAGTTTTGTGCCCGAGAAGTTTGAAGTGTCTTTCAGACAACAAAGATGTTGAACAGACCATTGATAGAATGTGAAATTTAGAAGAGAGGGACAGCCACAGTGCAGATAAGTATTTGGGTATTATTGTATGTAGGATGAATAAAAGGTATTTATGCTGGGAATAGAAAATAGATTTATGAGAAATTTGAGTCATTTTAAAGCTCTTACTGACATGCTTCCTAAGGGTGGTCTGGTCGCATGACATCGGTAGGTATTAGAAACTTAGGGAGATGAACAATTTAAAATGGAGCCTGATGTTCACTCTTCAAATAGGTGCACGTTACCTTACGTCACTTGAATATGAGGCAGATTTCACAATCTCTGCATTTACTATCTGTTGAATAATAGTGCCTTGCTTTTTACCCCAAGTGGGTCTATTTACAAGTATGCAAAAAGGAAAAAAAGTAGCTTAATATAATGGAATTTGTTACCCTGAAAAAAAGAATTAGAAGTAATTTACCTTTAGGCGGTCCAAGATGTAATTGTTGCAGATGGATAAGATGACTCATGGACTTTTTCTTTTCTGTCCACACAAGATCCCAGTAGCACCTGCTGTGCCTGCAGTTAGCTTGGTCCCACCAGCGTTTCCTGTGTCAATGCAGGTTCCTCCTCCTGGATTCAGTCCAATCCCGCCACCGTTTCTACGGGCAAGTTTTAACCCTTCACAACCACCTCCTGGTAAGCAATTTTCGTCTTATTAATGGAACTTTATTTAGCATATCATTTAAGTGCCACATAGAGCAGTGGTTTTCAAACCCTAGCATACGTTAGAATCACCTGGAAGGCTGGAATGCGTGTTCAGACGCAGATTGCTGGCCAGCCTCCCTTTGCTCCAGTAGGACTCCGCGGAGGGACAGTTGCATTTCTACCGGGTTCCCAGGTGATGCAGGCTGTTGGAGGACCACTTTAAGAAGCATCGACACAGAAAAGAAATGGAGTCCTTTAAAATCACTGAAATACTCTTTAGATAGTTTAAAATTGATGTTGAAATTTTTATATCACAGTTCTGTATAGCTATCACCCATTCATCCATAAGTGTGCATTTAATTATATAGATTGTCCTTCCTAAAAATCATCAGGTTTCCACTTTGACATTAGAAATTATATCTTAAAATGCTAATTGAATTGGTATTTTTTCTGACCTAATAAATTGTTGATAAACAAAAAGTTCCTTAAACCAGTATTTCTAGGTAAAAGCTATAGATTACTTAAACATCACAAATCAATGAAATCTAAATAATTGCTTATATAGCGTAGAATCAAATGGAATATATTGATGTTTTTAAAACGATTTTTTTTAACTTCATGATTTATTTCCATATTACAAGAAACGAAGTGCTGTATTTTGATTTCTGTAATTTAAATTTTTAGCTATTGAATAGAGTTCCTTAAAAAACACCAATATGACCAAAAAACAAATTCATTGCCTGAGAATGGTTGTAATTTATCTGTCATGTCACATAAAGTTTAAAATTATAGTTTAATACATAATTTGAAATTGATACAGATTTTAATAAGAATTTTATCTTTGTACATTTTAAATATTTGGAAATTACTTTTGTCAAATATTTTCTGTGTGTATGATTTTAAAATGGAACTTTTTTTAGAAGACATTTTTAAGTGATTATTTCAAAATTCATACCACATAGCCTTTATAAAGTCATTGTCTAGCATTTATTTGTTGAAAATCACGTATCCTTATTTTTCTCTTATTTTTAGCCACTGTTTCTAATTGAATTTAATGGTAGAGTCTATAGTTTTAAAAAGCAGGGAAGCAGGTTTATAGTTCTATCGTTTGATACTTAAAATCATAAAACAGCCACTATTAAATTGAAGATTTATTTCAATGTTTAAAACATAATATAGTAACATCCAAGGTTAATGATAAGTATTCTGATCTAGTGGGTAAACAGCATATATATCAGAGACATACAATAGCACATTTTACAGATGAATTATTGCATATAATGTTATCAGCAGCTCGAAATACAATATTTAATTCCCCATGTGGTCAGCATGCGAGCATATAAACAGATTGTCTGGCTTGTGTTAATCTTTAAGTGCCATGGGACTTAAACAAATGAGTAAATAAATAGGACGTAATAAGGAGCTCTATGCTTTAAAGGATCTAATAAGGTAGTTGTATATAAAAGTAATTTTTAAAATGGAAACTATACTCACAAATATGAGGTCATCGTAATGAAAGACTTTTTTAAGAATGTAGAATTTCACTTATAGCTATTAAAACCTTTGATGTAAAAGAGGTGACTTCTTACATTATTTAATTTGGGGACTTTTTTTTTTTCCATGTAGGTTTCATGCCACCTCCAGTCCCACCACCTGTTGGACCGCCACCTACTATTCCCCCAGTAGTACCAACATGTGAGTTTTCTACTTTCAGAATTTTCTCAATTCATGGTGGTGGTAATGTGTCAGTTCTCATTCTTGTGAATTATTGCTAGTTTTTTATTATGAAAGTTTTCAGACAAATGCATCTTTTTTGTTGAGTGATTTTTAAAAAAAATTAACAGTATCACCTGATAGTCCATATTCGGATTTTCTCTGTTATCTGAAAATATCTTTTTATAACTGGTTTATTTTAGTCAAAATTCAGAAGACAGTGACTGCATCATATTTGTATGTTTGTGTGTGTATGTGTGTATTAAATATCCTAATACAGAGTACTGCTGCCCAAACCTCCCTTTCTTTTTAAATTCTTCATGCCTTTAACTTACTGAATAAGCAAACAGCTCACTTCTATATGCAAGATCCCAAATAATGGATTTGGTTTTTTGCTTCTTTGTGATACTGAATTTGTTCCTCCATCTCCTTGCATTTCCTGTAAATAGAAAGTTGGCAGCACCAAAGGCTTGCTTTGATTCCATTTCAGCTTTTTTGGCAAGAATACTTAAAGATGGGGTGCTGTAGACTTGACATTACGTCACATCAGGAGGCAGGCTTTCCACCCTTTAAATGATGTTCAGATGTATCAGAGCACTCAGGTAGTGGGACCTGGCCATAAAAAAGTTAACCTTCATATTTCGTCAGGTGGTTCCCTCCATTGATCATTATTCCTTGAGCCTCCTTTTCATTAGTTTCAAAGCGATGATGACTTCTGAATTTTATAATTCCTTGTGTGTTTTTTAGTTATCATTTTTCTATAAGAAAAACTTGCTTTTATCAACTAATAGTATTTAGTTACCTTGAAGTACAGTTGTACAGGAGAGCAGGGGAGGTGCTAAATTCTTTCCTGTAAGTGCTATTTTCCAGAGCAGTGAGTGAGTTCTGTGGATATTTCCAGTGATAACCAGCGGCTGCAGCGGGGAGAGGAATTCTCTTATTTCTCCTCCTTTTCCTCTCCCTTACCCTCCAGTTCTTCCTCCTCCGTTTTCTTTAGTGTTTATGGATTAATTGATTTTTAGTTCCAAGCAGTTGCATTCACTCCTCTTTTTGAAGTTCCATTTGTCTCATCTTTGGACAATGAGAGACCTTTCATGTTGCTTCTCTGTCTTTTTGAGATGACCGCATCAGTTTTTGTGAGCTGCTTAGTTTTTTGTCCCAATATTGACTCAAAAGACTTTATTTAAAGAGAGTGTGTATGATAGAGGGCTTACCTTTTGATAATATAATCCATTTTCCTTATGGCTTTAAACATTTTTACTCTCCTTCAGTGTTTAGACAGCATTGGGATTCTTCTTTTTGGTTATTGTTGGTTAATTAGGAAGAATTGTTTATTCTTTCAGTAAACTGGAAAAATGTTGTGAAGCCCTTTCTGAATTCGCCATTCATAGACTCATCCTTGAGCGTACCTCCCAATTATTTCTTCTTAATTCACTCATTTTGAGAAATCTGAAGTAAACTTAATGGGGAAAGACACATAGCACTGTGCTGTGGGTGCTCTTCCTGTGCTCACTGTCTCATTTAATTCTCATAATTCCCTTGTGTGATCCCCAGGGGGTTTCCTCTGTTTACAGCCCTGTTATGTGCTAGCAGTTCATCCAGGTAAAACTAGAGTTAAATGTGAGGATAACAGTTCCTAAAACCCCCAAGTAAATGATTTAATAGCGTTGTGATGTAAATTGGACTACAAATTCCAGTTGTTTAATTGTGATTTTATATTCCTCTAGTTTTATTTTATAACATATAAATGATATATACACTTAGGGGTTTTTCTATGCTTTTTTTTAAATGGAATGTTTATACCGTTTTATTTGTAGTCCACCTTATTATCTCTCCTCATCTGATGAGTTTCTAATATTGTTTGACAAAAAGTAGTAAATGTAAGAACCTTAGAGCATTGTAATTTCAAGGGGAATTGGGCAGATTTTCCTTCTCATATTATTTGTCAGTCTGCACTAATCATTTCTGTTTATTTAGATATTCATGTACTGGCATCCTTGGAAAATTATGATTTTGTGTGTGTGTGTGTGTGTGTGTGTGTGTGTGTTATTGGGATTTTCTTCTTTAGAAGCCACTGGTCCTTATTTTACTAAACAATTTTTAAAAATATTTTTTAAAAAAGTTTTCTAAATATAATTTATCCCCTTCATGGTGACTCATTTGTCATTTTGAGCATCAGTTATTATATAATGTGTTAGATAATACAGAGATGCTATTAAATGATACATTCAAGCTGCGAGAAGTTAGTTTTCATTATAAATGAAATAGAGGGACCAGGAGAGAGTTCCTGTATGGTAGGTCCTCAAATAACATCTTCTCATTCAATGTATAATGTTTATGAGATGCTGTAGGAACTTAACTTGTTTATATCAATTAGCCCTTGACAATATTGGTTTTGTTATATGTGGTTTCACTGAAAGTCACAGACTCTATCACGACCTTAAGTGGGGACTTACTGTATGTCACGTGATATGATCAGTCTTACCAAACAACTAGGGGGAGAGGATAGGAAGTCCTTCAAAACTTTGGCAAGGCCATTGTTAGTCACGGTTACTGTTTTAACTTAGCACATGGATTGATGAGTTAATTAAGTCTGAAATATATTTCCCCCCCTCTTTAAACAGCTTTAGTGCAGCCGCCATTATCCATGACTCCAGAAACTGTGAAAGATGTTGGATTTGGTAGCATTATTTTACCAGGTGGTTCTGTTGCCAGCGGTCTTGCTACTTCTGCCTTGGCAGCTGGAAATGTTTTTAATCCTCCAACTAAACAAGCAGAGCCTGAAGAAAAAGTACCTCATCTTATAGACCACCAGCTTCCTTCTGGTGAAAACACCAGATCAGGTAAAGAAAGAAAAAAAATCCCCAGAATCCATAGTTAAATCATAAGCACTACACTCTGTGAAGTGGTGTTTACTTCTGAGGTGCCATGCATTTGTAAGCAGTTCAATGCGCAAATGTTTGAAATGTTGCAATTTTCAAAGAGATCACTATCTCCTAAAAACAAATTTGGCATTCTGTTCAGGATAGTATAGATTTTGCTGCCTCTCCATTGAGACCCCGTCCCTGTCTTTTTCTGGTTTGTTGGGACTGCTTTAATGTGTTGTTAATCAACATAAGATTGCACAGAGTATGTATCCTTACAGATGGAGAAAATGAACAAGTGCTATGTATAAATAACTTCTTTCTACCAGGTATCACCCAGCTGGGCCTAGAAGAAAATGTATCGTTTGAAAGCATCAAGTCCTTTTTTCATGGCAACACTGTTAGTATACTAAGAATTGTTTTGCTTTAGAAAGACTTGTTAAAAGAGAACCAGTATAAAACTTGACATTTTTGTTAATTTAAAAGGTCATGTAAAGATTTTAAGCAACAGTCCCACATATGTTTTAATATTTAGATGTCACTATACATGGTAATAACTTTAGCTTTGATTTTTATTTAGTATCTAGTGTACCTCGATTCTTTGGGGATACAAGTGGTTGATTAATTCTAAGCTAACTGCTGGAAATTATAGCATTAATAGTTACAAATATAGTTTTCTTTTCATTCCAGAGTGATTTTTGTGTGTGTTGTTTTTTTTCCTTTCCATTGTAGTGATTCAAAATGATATTTCCAGTAGCTCTGCAATTTTAGGACAGCCGCCAAATGTGACAAGCAATTCTGGAATTATGGGAGTTCAGCGACCAAATGTGTCAAGTAATGCTGAAATTCTTGGAGTCCGGCCATCTAACGTTTCCAGTAGTCCTGGGATTATGGGACCTCAGCCACCAAATATTCTCAATAACTCTGGAATTTTGGGAATACAGCCACCAACTGTTTCGAGTAGTTCTGGACTTTTGGGAGTGCTCCCCCCAAATATCCATAACAATTCTGGACTTATAGGAGTACAGCCACCAAATGTCCCAAATACATCTGGACTTTTGGGAACACAGCCACCAGCTGGGCCTCAAAACTTACCCCCTTTAAATCTCTCTAGTCAAAGAATGCCTGTACTGCCAATGTTAGACCTTCGTCCAGGACTAATGCCGCAGGCTCCTGGACCAAGGTTCCCTTTACTACAGCCTGGAATTCCTCCCCAACGAGGACTCCCTCCCCCATCGGTACTTGATTCCGCCTTTCACCCACCCCGTGGTCCTTTTCCTCCAGGAGATATTTTCGGTCAGCCAGAAAGACCTTTTCTAGTTCCTGGAAGGCAAAGTATAGACAATAATCCAGAGAAAAGGATACCACTTGGGAATGACAATATTCAGCAGGAAGGAGATCGAGATTACCGGTTTCCTCCCATCGAAACCAGGGAAAGCATGAGTCGACCTCCTCCTGTGGATGTTAGGGAGATGGTCGGACGGCCCGTGGATCCGAGAGAAGGTCCTGGCAGGCCTCCGTTAGACAGGGAGCATTTCGGAAGACCTCCTGTGGATAGCAGAGAGAAGCTCGTGAGGCCAGGGATGGAGCACCTTGGTCGGAGAGACCACTTCGGCTTTAACCCAGAGAAGCCGTGGGGACACAGAGATTTTGATGAGCGGGAGCATCGCGTCCTACCTGTCTTTGCTGGTCCGAAAGGCTTGCATGAAGAAAGAGGCAGATTTCGAGCCGGAAACTATAGATTTGATCCCAGAAGTGGTCCTTGGAACAGAGGATTTGGACAAGAAGTTCCCAGAGATTTTGATGACCGCAGAAGACCCTGGGAGCGGCAGAGGGATAGGGATGACAGAGATTTTGATTTCTGCAGAGAAATTAATGGAAATCGTCTTGGACGAGATAGGATTCAAAACACCTGGGTCCCCCCTCCTCATGCTCGGGTTTTTGATTTTTTTGAAGGGGCCACTTCTCAGCGAAAAGGTGATAATGTGCCTCAGGTTAATGGTGAGAATACCGAGAGACATGCTCCACCACCACCACCTTTACCAGTGCAGAGTGATCCTGAACTTTATGAGAAACTGACACCTTCAAGTGACATAAACAAGGAGAAGAGTGACACAGTTGCTGATGTAGAAAGTGAACCAGTGGTAGAAAGCACAGAAACTGAGGGGACATAATCATCACTCAGTAGGTAAAAGATACCTTTTGTAAAGTTGTCATCTCTCTGTAATAGCTTAATGGCCGACGGGACCATAGTTGTTCACTTTTGTCTGCCAGAATTAAGTTAATCTGATGTTCATGTTCACCTTTCTCTTAAAATAATTGTACAACTGACTTGTATAGACATTGTTCTTAATATGAACATGGGTAGGTAAACATTTTTTTTATTTTTCTGATAAATGTTGCCCCAGATTCTTTTAACTTCAAGGAAATGAATAACAGCTTGTCAGAGACTTCCTATGGAAGAAAGCATTTTTTAGATACTACCATTAGGTCGGATATGGTAATAGGTATATTTCAGAATAGCCAGTGGTGGCATATCTTATCCACATCTTTAGGCTGCTGCAGGATTTTAAGGTAACAGACAAAGCTGTGATATTTTATGCAAAGACTGGCTCTAGATCACTTGAGGAGCACCATACAGAGATTTTAAAAAGTGATTTTGTAAAATCTACACTGTGGTCTCTGTTTCTCCAAAGTAAGTGTTTGTGATCTGTTCCTCATACTGCAGTGAGTAAAAAGGAAAAAAAGAAAACAGCATAAATATTAAAATACGTTTCAATGTTGGGTGAATTTTGTTTTTAGATGCCAATAAAACTTATTTGTTTGATAACAGTGTTCTAGGAATTGTATTTTTTTAACCTACAAATTCTTAAAGCCCTGGATCCTGAGCAGCATGTGCCTAGTCGCAGAGTTTTCTTTTACTCCTAATAACAAAACGAAGACCTGTGTGGTGCAAAAAGTATGTACTTCAATATAACAATCATGCAGTCTCATTGGCTTGTATGTAATACCTGTGTGTGGTTATTGTATCAGTTACGTAGGCTTTTTTGGTTTCTCTGTATTCATGCGCATACAGAGAAAAACAAAGTTGATAGTTTAGATAACAAAATATTCTTTACAACTGGATAGAAAATTAGAGCAATTGATTGACATTGCTAATGGTTACAGCTCTTAGCCTTTGTGAAGGTAAAAAAAGAAACACTAAAGAAATACATTGACGGTTTGGCAATTTTTAAATATAGTGCAGCATGAAGCCAGATTTAGCATGGAGCCAAATTTGACGGAAATACTTGTACTGCTTTGTTTCACACTGTTTGCTCTTCTGCATAGAGTGCTGGGACTAAAATGCTTGCTGGTCACTTGCCTGAAGTGAATATCTTAATTGCACAAGATGTAGAGTGGTGGTGATGGGTCTGAAAACATTAGTTTGTATTCAAGGAGCAAAGAGCCCACCTGAGTTTTGCAGGCTCTGGGCAGCACTGGTCAGATTCCTCTCCAAGGTAAACAGAGCCGCAGAAAAATTGGGGCTTGGTTTCCCGTCTGCTTATTTACTTATTTTTGTTTCACTTTTCATTTATTTGCTGTTTGTTTTTCTTTTGGGTTTTACGTATACATATACATACATACATATATATATATATGTGTGTGTGTGTGTGTATATATATATATATATATATATATATATATATATATATATATATAAAACCATTGGTGTTTTTTCATTTCTAATGAAGGCTTTCATTTGGTCCTATGAATAGTCATTTTTGTTTCCATTGCATTTCCAACAATTCATTATTTGCTCTGTTTATCTAGAATTTTAAAGTTATGTTTGTCAAGCCGCGCCCCCCAAATGGTAAGAGCACACCAGCTATTTAAAATTGGATGTTTTTTCTTACCTCTGATGACCTACAGAGCTGCAAGAGCTTTAAGGTTCCTGGCCAAAAATAAAGCCTTGCCTTCTTACAGGTTCTGAATAGACATAGTACATTATTTATTTTGTTATTTGAAAATGTGGATGAGAGTAGGAATTTGGTGTTTATTTTTAAGGCATTTCAGTTCAGTAATTTGAGTTGTTTCATATCTTTTCCTTAGGGAAACGGGGGAAACTGACAGTGGTACAAAGTTTTAATGTTCAGGATATATTAGCCTCGTCTTTATGGAAATTATATTGACTGGGATGTCTCTCAAACTGCTTTCTTTGTCTTTACGATTAAAATTAAGTGACATTCACTTGGATCAAGTAATGTGAAAAAATGTGAGACTTTTCATTGACTTGTTGCCAAGCTGTTTAATCACTGGTGGGCCTTCATGTGCAAACTTGAAAACAAAATATATGCAAGTATTGCACTGGTTTGAAGATTGTGGTGGTGTACATTTCTTAATCAGCTGCCAGTACAGGATCTACAGTAGAAACCCATCTTGGAAATGTGTGATGCTCCTAATGTAACTGAAAAAAATTATGTCTACTTGTTCCCACATTGTCCTTGTTATGTTTTGTTGTATAATATTTAAGCGAAAGGATATTATTGATTCTCATACTGAATTCCCAAAATTGATATTTATGTTTACCATTTTTTAATGATGAAGAGAAAAGAAATTGCCTTCCTTTGATAAGTTTAACACAGGACCTATCACATTTTTGATGCTTTTGATCACAGCACTGTCACTCGAATGTTAGCAAATAGAAATCTGCAAGGAGCAACCTAACCAGTTTACTACAATGATTTAAAGTGCTGCAGGCAGTCACTGCAGTAGACACCACAGCACACAGCGTTTCGCTCTGATTTATTAACAGAGGAGGGAGGGAATGAGGTGGCTTTCTGCAGATCTGAAGACTGCAGTATTAATAGACATTAGTTATTAATTCTTAAATGCTTTTTATGTCTTTAAACATTTCAGTAAACATTGGCTTCTGTCCTTAGCATAAATGCATGTACTGTAGTTTGATCATTTATAGTATAGAAACTTAACTATACTGAATAGTAGTTTTTATCTGCAGCACGTTATAGGTGGAATGCTCCTTTATTCTAATTTTATTTCGATACATAGGGAGGACAAATACTTAGAAAGTATTGGAAGATGGAGTAGTATAAAATTATTTGCTTAAAACTCTGGAAATTATGTAATATTTGATAAAATTTGTTCATTATTTATTTTATTCTTACCAGAGTGTTTTGTCTTGATAATTTAGTTGCTTCATTAAATTAATTGACCATTTTTTACTCATATTAAAGATTATAGTTTATGGAGCTACACGTTTAGAATTGTTTCGGGTATGAGACAGTTGTGTTACATTTAAAAAGAAAAAGTGACCTCTTAATTTGAAAAGGTATTTTTTTATAAACATAGTAGTTCATCAGATCTAAGGTGCCGTTGATTGTAAGAAGCCCCATTTAGAAACAGAAAATGTTTCCAGTATGACATGCCAGTGATTATAAGACCGATTCATCCCTTATTCAGGAGTGTCAAAATGTAAAAAGTGTCTTAGAATCAAAGAAATAGGGTATTCATTAACTTTATATATGTATTTTAGATGGGCACAACCTTTTAATGAAAAGAAAAATTTTAATATTCAATTACAGTAATGTTGTTAGACCTTACGTGCCTTTATCATTATTACTTTATTGGGTGCTCTATTAATAAAATGTTTTAAGGGCATTTAACTCTTTCAAAGAAAGAAAACTAACATTTTTCTCTTTAAATATTTTATGTAATAGAGACGAGGAGAGCAGTATCTTTATATGCATTTTTAAGATAGGCAAAATAAACTATTGTATGTTGTAAGTACTGCAGTGTGGCAGAGAATTGTAACTGTTTCGTGTAATTGATTTTTTGTTTCCTTTTTGTGTTTCCTTTAATTGATGATGTAGTTTTATTTAAAACATCTTTTAAACTATTAACTTTAAGTGTAGGCATTAAAATTTTTATTTTCCACTTCTTAAGGAAAAAAAAAATTAGGTTACAATAGTTTTTAATGGGAGATTTAAAAGCAAGCTACCTTGATCCAGAAAAACTTTCTGGAACTAGAATTTAAAATTAATGGGTCAGATTGTTTTATTTTGGGGGGGGCATACTTTAATGGGGGCATGCATATTGAGAGCAATATGAAATGTGGTGCTCGGTCAGGAAATGTACAATAGACTCACCTGTGGGGGTTTGAGGGGTCAG